ACATTTTTATTCATATTATTGCATTTTATCCAAAGAATACAACAAGAGATAATGATTTAGAAAGATTTGAAAAAGGTTATAATTAGAGTTCAAGGAAAATTCTCAATCATTAAAACAGAAGTTGATAGAAGCAAAATTAAGCTTATTAAGGTATAAGATTTTTTTAAGTTTTTATCAATAACAATAAAAAAACTTTTTAAAGAAAACTAAAAATAAAACTAATAATAATTATCAAATTAGATGGTAGCATCTGATATTTGTGTACTTAATCTTGAAGAAGATGACCTACCAAAATTATCGCTATCCATTACATTAGTAGGCACAGCATCTAATAATTCAGAAACCAATGATGATAAAGTCATTTTGAAATTAAATGCTAGAGAATATATTGACAACCAAAATAATAAATCTCTTTCATTTGATTTATATCATTTTTCAGAAGAAAGTCATTTGTTGCCAATTACAAACAAGGTTTTACATGAATCATCATTATATATTACTGGATCTCTATCTCTTATCGATGATCTCTTACTTGTCAGACTTACACAAATTAATTTTATTGAAAACACTCGCTCATCACTTAATAAAACTTCAAGCTATGCTTGGGAAAAGAGAGAAGAAAAGGAATCAACCACGCAATCTATCCTATGAGCTACTGAGATAACCAAGTATCTTTCAACCAAATTTAATAAGAGAAAAGTAAAGAATCAAGCAACAACTTTATCCCGTTCCCAGAAAATTCCAAAATATCTTCTTTAGCATTACCTCAAATAAATATAGATGAGGATCCTCAAGAAGAATCTTCTTCAACAACATCTAATTGCAATATCAATTATAATTCACAGGATGATACTTAACTTGATATATCTGATGATAGGAATGAAATTGTAACACAACCACGAAAAACAAGAGGAAGGAAAAAAAAATAACATTACTTTTAATTACTTTTAATTTTTTTGCGCTTCTTTTTCATTTATTTTTTTTTAAACATATATATTATTTAGATTAGATATTAGCTATATTTTAAATTTTTTTACAATTCTTTTTATTATTATTATTTTTATTTTTAAATAAATAATTTTTTGAAAAAAAACAACTTAATTATGTAATAATAATCTATTTTTTTTTTTTGATAATTCGTATTGATCACAATTCCTACAAAACAAAACGAAAAGGAACGTTAGTGACGTTCTCAATTAAACAAACAAAAAAAAACAAAAAAAAAACGGAAGTTTCATATGAAACTTACCATTTTTAAATGTCTAAATACCAAAAATCCCTGTTCCTACAAAAAACAACGAAAAGAACGTTAATTACGTTCCCTAAAGCAATATCAAAATACAAATGAACGAACTTACCATAGTACGTTCATTTAAATCCTGGTTGTCCAGTTCATCAAGAAAAAAAAGAAAGGGAATGTTAGTGAGGTTCCCGATTAAGAATTAAAAAAAAACAAAAAAAAAACATACCGTTCCCAAACCCGAAATCCCCATTCCCATCCTCAGTTCCTACAAAAAAAAAAGAAAGGAAATGTTAATGAGGTTTCCGATTAAAAATTAAAAAAAAACGAAAAAAAAACATACCGTTTCTAATGTTCCCCAAACCCGAAATCCCATCCCCATCCCCAGTTCCTACAAAAGAAAAAAAAAAGGAAATGTTAATGAGGTTCCTGATTAAAAATTAAAAAAAACGAAAAAAAAAACATACTGTTCCCAATGTTCCCCAAATCCGAAATCCCCATTCCCATCCCCAGTTTCTACAAAAGAAAAAAGAAAGGGAATGTTAGTGAGGTTCCTGATTAAAAATTAAAAAAACAAAAAAAAAAATAAAAGTAAAAGTACAAAAAATTAAAAAACAAAAAAAAAAATAAAAGTATAAAAAATTAAAAAAACAAAAAAAAAATAAAAGTAAAAGTACAAAAAGGAGGAAACAGAAGCTTTGCAACGAACCCGATTAAAAATTAAAAAAAAAAAATAAAAATAAAAAAAAATAAAAGAAGGAAACGAAAGTTTCGCAACGAACCCGATTAAAAATTTAAAAAAAAAATAAAAATAAAAAAAAATAAGGAAACAGAAGTTTCGCAACGAACCTAAATGTTCCCAAACCCAACAATTAAAAAAACAAATATCATTCTGAATCCCAAATGTTTCTATACCCCCAATTAAAAATTAAAAAAAAAAATAAAGGAAACGGAAGTTTCGCAATGAAACATACCGTTCCCAATGTTCCTCAAACCCGAAATCCCCATTCCCAGTTCCTACAAAAGAAAAAGAAAGGAAACGTTACTAATGTTTCCTGAAAGTAAAAAAGTAAAAAAAAAGAATAAACTTACTACAGTTCGTTCACCTTATCGTCTGATTCGTCCGTTTGTTTAATTTCCGACCCTAAAAAAAAATGATTTTAAAAAAAAATAATCAAAAAATTAAATAACAAAAAAAATGTGGCTTGAATCTAATTATATAAGTTAATCCGATCCATAGATCGATTAAATAAAAAAAGTAATTTTCTCAATATAAAAAAATATTATATCTGGCGAATTCGTATCCTAAAAAAAAAAAAGAAGTGGTGTGTGTCGAAGACAAGATTATTAAACAAAATAAATAAAAAAAAAATAAAAATAAAAATGTGTCGAAGACGAGATTATTAAACAAAATAAATAAAAAAAAAATAAAAATAAAAATAAAAATGCTAATTCCTGGAAGTCTATTAAAATTACTATTCCTAAAGATAAAAATTTTTCCTTTACTTACCGTCCGAAATTTATTTAATTTTAATAAAAAAGAAAGAAACCCAACGACGATAATCCTTAAAAATTGGATTAGGATGAATCCAATAAATCCAAAATTAAAGATAAATCCTTAAATCAGAAAAGATTAGATCCAGATGGATCATTAAAAATAGAATCAATCAACAATACGCAGCTATACCATAATATTAATAAATTGTACTAAATTTGAAAACATTGAATTATTACTTATTAAAATAGCAATATTAATATGA